GTTGTCTGTCTCTAAGTGTAGCCCTGTGATAGACTGGTGACCTGTCCAGGGTGTCCCCTGCCTTCACCCTGAGTCAGCTGGGATAGACTCCAGCCCCCCATGACCCTAGTGAGGATTAAGCGGTGGATAGATGATGGATGGATGGATGGATGGATGGAGCGGGTTATCTCCCTTTCCTCCAGTATATCATAAAACCAACAACAACAAAAAAACAGCCACTACATCTAGTCAGAACTATTAAACAGTACCATCTTTTGTCCTGACTGTCAACTTCGGATGTCAGAGTAGCTGGGCGACATGAGCTGAGCTCCGATATGTTAGGGGAAGGGTGTGAACAGTTGGTGACACAAATAAAAGTCCTCTGTAGGCAGATTTTCTCATTTAATAAAGCTCAGGTCAATCTTCACATCCTTTCAAAGACGTATACCACTTAGAAGCAGCAGGCCAGTTAGCGAGCCACTGTCTGTGTTGCTCACTTGTGATGGCCCACAGTAATTTTAATATGAATGTTTTGAACCCAGATAACAGCCACAACTCGGTTTAATTCCCACAAAACTTCAGCTACAGCAGCTGTAGGGAAAGTCGGCTCCTCTAATGGTACGTTACATGAACAGGTGTACTGACACCAGAGGGACATGGTTTAGAAATGAAGGGCAAACTACAATATCACACAATTATGAGGATTTTAAACACAAAATACAGGCTGAAGTGACACAGCTGCAGCAGCCAAAGCTGGAAGGAAAGCTGCAAAGAACTGCAGGTTGTGTAAATGCGTAACTTGTATGCTTCAATATCACTGTTCCTTTGTGTGTCAGCTGTGAGAGAAAGATTTAAGATTCAGTCAACTTATTACTGCCTGCGTCACAAGATTGCAAATGTATTCCCTTCATACTACTCACATAAAAGACGTTATTTAATGCACAAGTAATAAAAAGTATTTTCACGGGGATGTGGGGATGAATTCAATAATCTCACATTCTGTCTTACTCTGAGGGCGTGTCAGACAATTTCATTCTTTCAGCTGCAACCGTGATGGTGTTTAATGGTTTTAGGAGCAATCAAAGAACAAATATAAAAACGTCTTTTGGACAAATAGGAAGGCTCATTGCAAATGTTACAAGGTCAACAAGTAGGTTGTAAGACTTTAGTGTGTTGGTCAGTTTCTGTTTTAGGGATATGTCACTCTACAAAGGTTCATGAAACCTTCTTGCTAACGACGCACCGAGATCTGTGGAACCTTTGTGGAACGCTGATGACATTTTCAGAGAACTGATCGGTCAATAGTTGGTGTTTTAATAAAACTTGAACTATTATCTTGAACATAGCGTGCTGTGGAGCAGGTTAGGCGTTCAGTAGTGGCAGTTTAAATGTGCAACAATAGGAATTTAAGGAAACGTAATGATGCAAGCAAGAAAAAAATCCCAAAATTCACAAAGAAGAAGTTCAATGGTTTAGTTTATCTCATGGAAGTGAACAGAAAATGAACACATTTTATTCAAAGCCATTCAAAACATAAATAGGAACTCGTTCAAAGAAAACGAAAGAAAAAAGAAATATATCTGGTTATTGTTTTCCTTTGAGGTTCGGTGAATTTACTTCTTACAAAAGAACAAAGTTGGTGTCGAATGAATGAATTCATAACAAACATGTTCTCTGAAGCTTGTTTCCATTATTTTCAAGCATCAGTGGTGCAGTGTGGATGGCCTGGCTGAGGGTGGGTTTGGGAACCACTCTTTGACCGTAGCTCTTTTTACACGACCTCCCCGTGGGATTTAAATGGCGTTCAATGACAGTGAATGACCCGACATCGTTTTAAGGCTATTAGGTGGTAAGTGTGCAGCCTCACTGTCACACACAGAATCAATACCTCTCCTAAACACCCATCCAGACAATGAGAAGTGCCTTCTCTTTTAATATCTATCTCCTGAGTCCCCTGGATATTAATCTTCTCTCAGCTTCACTTTGGAGCCCATTCTGCTCACCGTCTGGGCTCGCGGTGTTTATTAGTAGTACATTAAGCCTCCAGACACGTCAGGGCTTCAATAAACACACTGAATGGAAATGGCAAGAACCCTCTCAGTGGGCCCACTGAGCCTGACTTATATTTTAAGCTTTCGCTAATCTGCAGACTTAATTAAGTCTCATCAGGACATCAGGGCTCGCTGGTGCACCGCACTGCATGAGGGGATCACAGCACAGACAGATGACAGAGATAAGTGCTCTCATTAGCCACCAAGACGGTATCGACAAAAACTGCATGTTCGCTGCTAATGGAAACACTCTGGTCTGTCATTTGGATATGCAGGCTTCCAATGTGGGGGATGTCAGAAGGTCAAGAGGTAACTAAGACAGGATTTATGGCTGCCAATGTGACGACAGCCGCAGGAGCTGAAATACGATATGTGTTTATTGTCATCACATGCCTGCCACCTGCAGATCCAGATAATGAGACAGCTGGAACTGAATTATTTTTATTCATCCAATGACACAAGTGTTTGTAAGTTAATATTACTGAAGAAAATCAGAATTGATTATGTTCACGTGTAGTTGTCGTAGTTGTGGTCGATGATGAACCCTGTAGAGAATTGTCACCCAACATTTGAGCTGATTGTTTAAATAAATCCTTCTGCTGATAATCAGGTTTTAAATCTTGGTAGCAAGTCTATATGAAATTTTTTTATACTGGAAGGAACATCAGGGCTGCAAGGTGGCTCTGTGGTTAGCAACGTCGCCTCACAACTAGAAGATCCCCAGTTCACATCCCGGTGAGGACACCTGGGATCTTTCTGCGTGGAGTCTCCATGTTCTCCCCGTGCAGCGT